CATTCTTATTTTATATTCTAGCATGTCAATATTGGTAATTTGGGTTTCTGATTTGTACAAATCTATAGACTTAGTATTTTGACTTCACAAACATCTAATTTGAACCAGTGCTGCATTTAACATACCACATGACACACAAAAATCAATGTTTGTCTGTTTTTTTAATATTTACTTTTAAATTAAGAAATTGAGTAATGTATAGTACTAAAATTTGAATTATAATCTACAGTTTTATACCAAACTTATTGACATAAATTCATGAAATAGTAGTCCAATAAAATTTTGAATGCAAGTCAACAAACAAAATGACATGGCCTTTCACCCATGACCCATCTCAAAAGGGTTAACTGGGATTCAAGGGTCTCAATGTACTTGAATTCATTGACAGTGCCTTTCACAATATGCAGGTATCCCACACTGTTGCCAAAGATGCATTCCAATATCACCTGACCTCACAGTTGCTTCACAGTTGCATTCAAACGTCTTGGATGAAACTCCACATTGCTTAAGTCCAGTCAGCATGCTTTTTGACCCATTTGAGCCTCATTTTCCTCATCTTGATGATGAGAAGGGGTTTTTTCTTAGCTGTCTTGTTGAGAGACCAGCTGAACATAGGTGAGACCAGGCTGTATGTGGAGTGACAGTGACCCTTGAAGTTTCCTGCCATGGTCTTGTGAGATCTATAGATAATGATTCTGCATGCTCATGCATTTCAGAACACAATCATCACCTGCTGTGAAAGGCATCCTCTCTGTATTTTTGCACCCACGACTCGCAGTAGACTGGTTTAATTTAACTCTTTTATCAATATGCCTTGTCAAAAGTCATTCTTTGCTCAAATAAACTGCTTTTTTTTCCTCATTGAATTAACTCACAACCCTTGACCATGCTAGCATTAAACACATATTGTAAGCAGATAAGCTTCTAAACTGACTCCCAGTAACAAACTTCTATTTATGGCCAAAAAATGGCTGATGCAATATCCAGACAGCCTATAAAACTACTGATGTATTAATTAGACAGTATTGCATCATCCATGAAACACATTTGCACCTACATGCATTATGGCCTCAAAACAGAAATTGATTCTGAAGAGAATTGTGAAAAATTGGGTCATGCAATAAATTTTTCTACCACTGTATATATACTCTCACACACTCACACTCATGAGACCAAGAAAATTAAGATTTAAGATAATCACATAACATATTTTATTATGATTATGTAAAAATTAGTGTTTGTTAAATGAAAACTTATGAATTGCAACAGGTTTCAGTGACTTACATCCATGAATATTATTTCAAATAAATTGAAAACTTTTGTCTCTTACAAGTGACATCTTGATGGCCAGGTCTCATAAGGATATTCTTCTCTATCTGATTTTTGATGTTTACCTAAGAGTTCTAGTTTAACAGTTTTTTTATATTAAAGAAAAATATGATTATTCTTTGAAATCTCAGATGTTAAAATCTTGTTAGTTTGATTATTTTAATACCCTTACCTTTATTATAGTCAGTATTATATAGTATTATACTCTTTCCTTTATGTTGTTATGGACAGAATATAGAATGAAGTGAAAGTCATTAAAGAATAGTATTTGTATGATCAGTAAAGTAAAAATTGTTGCACTTAAAATTTGAAAGTTCTACAGTACAAGTATTTTAGATCCACTTGAAACTACAGAGATTTGTATTCAATATATTAATCACTGAACAAGTTTGTGAATTAGATTGCTAAGTTACTGTTGAATGACTTTCACATTCAGAATTACATATGCATTCTGTAGTTTTATTTGCATCCAAACCAAGATTCTTTCAGGTATAAAGATGTATTGTTTGGTTTTAGTGTCACAGTGACGGGGATCTATCGAGCTACTGCTGTTCGTGTGAATCCATGGCAGAGGAATGTTAAGTCTGTGTATAGAACCCATATTGATGTAGTCCACTTCCGTAAGGTTGATACAAAAAGGCTTTATGAAGATATAGAAGATGGGTAAATTTTCAACTTAATTATTTTGAATTTTGCATTACTTATTTCTAAAATATATGTTAATTGTGTGTGTGTCTGTAATTCATAAAAGATAAAGCAAAGTCTACTAAGGAAAGCAGAAATAAAAACATCTTTACATGAATCCAACATTTCAAAATAACTTTATTCCATCATCAGCAGCAAAAAGTGGTGTTTGAGAACATAAAGTTTATAAAATATCAACTTTGATTAAAGGGTTAGCACACAGGATCACACACAAGAGGTCAATGTATGTCAAAAAAAGACTTAAAACTTAAGCACTTTGGAATGGTTAATTCTTTATTTTCCAGAAAAACAATAGCAAACTATTCAAAAGCATTTAAGTTTTATTGTATATTTTTTTTAAATTCATAAGCGTAGAAAATATTGAGAGAAGATATGAGCAGTGAAGTAAGTGCATATATACCATGAATTAAATTAGAGGTTACAATCAAAACATTAATTTTGGTATCCATTAACTGTATGGCAAGCATGTTTATACATAAAATAACACAAACTGGAAGTAAAATACTAATATTATCACAGTTTAGGACAAACGAAATATGGATTGTTTATAATTATACCAATTAGAATTATTGTGGTTGGAAGGATGTCTAGATAAATTAGGATAGTATTTCATGATTAAGATGGGTTTTTTAATGGTTTGAAGATCCAATTGCAATGATGATAAAGTTATTAATTAATGTTATTACCTGTGATTCTTTCATGTGAGCAAACTTTTGATGAGGGTTTAAGATAGGCAAAGGCTAGTTCTAAGGGATACTGTTATCAGAGCACTCATAAACTAGTTTTTAAGTAACATTTAGTTTTGCTAGTATATGTAATTTTTAGTTTCTACATGACCCAAGAGTGAAGGAGTGTTAATGATTGGTCCTTATATTGAAAAATAGATTCTGAATTCAGAAATCAGACCTAGATAAGTCTGAATTGAGTCTGGGGTACAAGTTTTTTATATTTATTTAGAGGGTATTTTTTTAAAATTCAAAACTTTGAGAACCTATCAATGGTAGCAGATAGTGAGAGGAAATTTCAAAACAATGAATTGCTTGTTCTAAGTACCTCAGAAGAGCATAACTAGTAAGTATAGACTGTTGATAATGAACAAGATCAGATTATGTTGGGGAAAAAACTAGAGTAAACCAATCATAGTTATATAGAGGCCAGTAAAAGTATTTTTATAATATGTAGTAGTAAAAAATAAATATATATAGTTATTTTGATATCCAGAAACGCAATCTATTGCATTCAAAATTAGAAATTCAATCTTGGGGTGAATGGAATTTATATATGCTAGGAATTCAGGAATATCATGAACAGAATAAAATGTTTGAAATCATGAACACAGTTTTAATTAAATATGAATGATCAGCACTTATGTATTGTCTAAAATTTAGTAAATAATTAAAATTAATGTTTCATATTTATACAGTTTGAAAAACTTTATTGCAGCCATCAACAGCTTCTATTTTAAAAATACACTCTGTATGTACAATGTTTCGATGTCCTCTACGTGGTCTTCCTTTGTACATGTAGAGTGTATTTGTGAAGTGGGAGCTGTTGACTGCTTCAATAAAGTTTTTAAAATTGTGTAAATATGAAACATTCATTTTAATTATTTGTTAAATTTTAGACAGTTAGTTGTCTAACCATTTGTGTTCATTCAGACAGAGTAAACTACTGGCCTAGTCCATCTGTCTACTTGTTCATAGAAGACATTGTTAAAGATAAAATGATTCAGCTTAGTGGCAAAAATGAAAAATTTCTAAAATCATGGTGTAGTGTGTATTGGGAAGAGATGGTTGAAAATTGTTTCTAAAGTTTCATCCAGAGAAATACTGATATAGCAGAATTTGATACTTAAACTGTCCATAACATGTCAAGTGATGGAGATTTTTTAAATATCATAAGTCAACATGAAAGAGTCCTAAATGTTAAAATCATTAGCAATCAAGGGTAAGGGTAGAGGATCCAACAGATGAAAGATTAGGTCAAGATTGGCAGACAATGAATTTTTGGTAAGTCTGTTACCACATCAAGATATTTGTTCGTAAACAGTTTTTGATATACTGATATAGTATTCCTTTTCTTATGCATATTTTTAAGCAGTTATAAGTAAATCAAGAATTATTTTTTTTAAACAGTTGCCAAAACCATTTTATACCAGGTAATAAATACTGATATATTTGTTCATAATATTGTGAAAAAGTTTGATATTAAGCAGACTAGTTCTATAATCCCAAAATAATTTGCACAACACATTATCAAAAACCATATCTATTAGGTAATTAACTCTTGAAATTTCTAAGTGATAAAGCTGATTCATCATCTAGAAGATTTCTTATTACAGAAAGGATAATCGATTTACACCAGAAAGAATTGAGAAATTGAAAAATTTGTCAAAACTTCCTGACATATATGATAGGCTTGCCCGTGCCCTTGGTAAGTTTTTGAAAAAAAATATTGGCATTTACTTGTTTCAGTTAAAAGTTCACTTAATTTTTTTTTGCATTAATGTGAAAAGAGCTAATAGTAAGATATGTTTGTATTGAAGGAAAATAAATTCAAAATATCAATTTCTTGCATAACAGATATTTAAAGCAGTACTTGGATATGTTATTATCAGCATTAAATGGTTTATCAATTACATTTCACTTGTAGTTATCATTGAGGTTCTGGTACTAAAAAAGAAAGGGGCAATATGTATCAAATAACTGTAAACTGAAATGTCAAAAATGAGATATGATGAAATAAAATAATTGTAAATTGAATGGAATAATTGATTTTTTTCAAAATTGAATTTGAAGAATAGGGCATGATTTTCTTTTTATTGTGTTTGTGTGTGTGTGTATAGCTCCTGGGATATATGAAAATGAAGACATAAAGAAGGGGATTTTGCTTCAGTTGTTTAGTGGAACAAAGAAAGACTTTGCAAACACAGGCCGAGGAAATTTTCGGTGAGTCATGAAGTGTTGTCATTTTACTGTGGAAACAACTGTTATTCTAAAAAGCCTTCAGATTCACAATTTGTTTTCATATTTTGAAACATTCTGGCCCACATTTAACTCAGAAACTTTTAAGCATTTTCTTAATATTTAATAATTTGTGAATGTAATAGTTGGAATTGATTTTGTTCAGAATGTGTTGCACTTTTTTTAAAATCATAGCTGAGAAAATCCTCAGGCCTAAAAATACTATTCCTTTAATCTTTTTTTTTTTTAAAGAGCGGAAATCAACATCCTACTGTGTGGAGACCCAGGTACTAGTAAGTCCCAGCTTCTCCAGTTTGTCTATAATCTTGTACCAAGAGGTCAGTACACCTCAGGTAAAGGTTCTAGTGCTGTTGGTTTGACTGCTTACATCACTAAAGACCCAGAAACCAGACAACTAGTACTCCAAACGTAAGTACAATGTGTAACGTAAAAGCTTTATCAGAAGTAATGCATCTATTACTTGGAAAATCCTTACATAATCAAAATTTTCATCTGATAGAAAAACCATTTAACACTGATCATACTAGAACACAAAAACAAATTACTACTTCAGTACTGTTCTATTTATGGCCTAATGGAATTTCATTTATATAACATAGAAATGCAATACAGAACAATATTTTGACATGGTAATGGTCAAATTTGAATATTCTTTAATCACACATATAATATCTGTTTATAAGAATAAAGAAATGAATTAAGTATACCGTACAAGATTACAAGTCCTTTACATTTAAACCATGCTACATAAGACATAAAAAAAACCTTCAAAAATAGGTTAACCTGAAGCAATAGAAAATCAAAATGTACAGTGAACCCATTATCTACACTGTTGATTTTACACGTTAACTTTCTTGACATGGGCTCTGTCGAATTGACTGACCATGTGACCACTTTGTACTCATATAAAGTCGTTATAGTTTTGATATTATGAACTTTTAATATAGTAGGTATATCTTCAGAAAATTTGGCAGACAATCTGTAAACATTGTAAGTCTTTCACATATATAAAAATCAGATTTTTTAATGAATTATTATTAATAAACTACAAAAAAGGTTTGTCCGTGAATATATTAAACCTTTTATTTACTAGTCTAAGTACAAAATGATTTTCATGTTAAAATTAAAAATACTTTTTCTTCATCTCAAAAATCTTAAATTTCATATGGGTAATCGCTAAACCTCCTAAATACATTTCAAATGTCTGTTTTCAGTAAAACTTTACATTTTATGTGTTATTTTCTCCACCATAACTCTATACAAGGTTGGTCAACTTGACTGACCTCGTAACCACCAAAAAAAATGTTAAATAAATCTGAACTACCTTTTTTTTCTTTCTAGAATGACTTAATGACTAGATTTAAACTCCTAACAGTATACCTGTATTTATACATAAATTTTATTATTTTACTGCCATTTGATTGCCCTTTGAACGGTGTCTAACTACTATTCTCGTGCCATTATATGTTGTATATCACTTGGGGAACGTGGGGCTCATGTTACGCTATCAAAGTACATTACCCATGAGCTGCTCAGGTATGTTTTTTATCAAAATTGTTTATTATATTATTTATTTTACTAATCTAACCTTAATTAACCTAAAGAGATTTCTGTTTTTACATTTTAGTTACTTTTATAATAATAAATAAAGAATACACATGAAAAACAAGAAATAAAGTACTTACCTTCTTTTTTTCTTTGCTGTTGATGAAACTTAACCCAACTTTTTTATACTAATGGTAGTAATGCACTAAATGATTTATATTTAATTAAGTAATGCACCAAAAAACATAGAATTAATAACATGCAAAAAGCAGACAATGTCCCCTAGCTATCACAATTTTTTTGGTTTTGTAACTTTGAGACAAAAGCCGTTGCATATTCATCCAAGCTAGTCAATATGTTTTGCATGGGAATGAAGCTTATACTAAAAAGAGAAATGGGCAATTTTCTCTTCAGAACACAACGTAATATAATATGTCATTTGATAGATGAAAACCTTGGCTTTTAAATTGGTTGTAAGTAATATATTATTAAATATATAGACAGGATGTAACAAGTGGTTATGGCAAGAGGATTCTGTTTTTTCTATTTGATGGCTCTGTAACCAAACAAGATTGAATTATAAGAAAATTATGCTTTGTCTCAGCAATGACAATTTTATAGTGAGCAACTTACATTAAATTTCGTACTTATTGGTGAGGTGGTGAATAAATTAGGGAATAGGGGATGCCTAGAGAAAAAAGTCACATTTCTCACACTAGTGTAAATTCAGGATTTTATTTATTTATTTTTTATTGCCTGATAAAATTTAGAACTTAAAACTTATACTATTAAACTGTGTTTATTAGCTATGAGTGTACTGCTATACTAATTGGTATAACATAAACAAAAAGTAATTTGATTAAATTTGGAATATAAGTCACGTAAAACCTTGTGACATGCATAGTAAAGGATGCCTATGGCAATAGTGTTCAATTTTGTAACAGTATAAATCTATTTCTACCTAAATTTTATTGTTTTATTGCCCATTGAACTGTATCTAAGTAGTAATCCTACCACACAAGTTGTAAATCACTTGGCGAACATACAGCTCGCAGTACCTTATCGAATTACATAAGGCATGGGTTACTCACGCACTGCTTAAAAAAGTGTCATGAAAAATTTTATTTTTTTTATTTTAATCTTACACAATCTAATCTTGTCTAATATAATTTTTATTTTCTTTTACCTACATTTATAACAATAAATTAAATATACACTTGAAAAACAAAAAATATAATACTTACCTGGATCTTTTTTTTTTCCTATCAACTGTCGATGAAACTTAATCCTATTTTGTATACTAGTGGTACTATTACATTGAATAATTTTTTATTTAATTAAATGATGCACCTGAGAGCACAAAATAATAACCTATAAAAAGCAGAGGATATCCAATAAGTATCGTAATTTTTCTGACTTTCTAGCTATGCAATAAGAGCCGTTAGAAATTCAGCTAAGCACTTCGATGTGTTTCTTATGGGAATATAGTTTGAACTGGAAGTGAAATAGACAATTCTCTGTTCAGAAAACAATGTAATATAATACATCATTTCATAGATTAAAACTTTGGCTTTCTATTGTTTACAAATAATATAGTATTAAACTTCAGAAAGAACTATTTGCAATTTGTGAAAGAGAAGATGTGACAGGTGGGTTTGGGAAGAAGGGTTTAATTTTCTATTTTATGGTTCTGTAACCAAATAAGATTGAAGGCTATAAAAATTATGTATTGCCTGTGTGATAACAATATTATAGTAAGTAATTTATATTAAATTCTGTACTAGTTGGAAGGGTAGTAAATAAATTAAAGGAAAGGGGATACCTAGAAAGGAAATGTCACAATTCACATACCAGGGTGAAATTGATGATTTTTTAAAAATATTTCCTTATAAAATTAAGTACGTAAAGCTTATATAATATTAACATTTGATTTATTAACTACATTTTTATGTCAAGTTTATTCATATACCTAGATAATAAATTAGATTAATTAAGTTTTGAATGTAACTCTCTTAAAAAGCTGAGACATGTGCACTTTGCCTCCCTGTAGCAAGAGGGTTAATCACTTGTAGAATATGTATCTATAACACCCATGAACTTTTTGATCCACAGGCCACATAAAGTCTCTGCTTAACCAATATCTTCATATATCCAGCTGGCCTTATGAGCCCTGATATTGGGCAAAATGTCTTGTTGGCACTTTATATGGCAGGTGGTGTGTGGTTGATTTATTGCAACATTTTGCTTTGCTTTGCTTTCACTTATGGGTTCTTAGAATTACTTGTATAGTTTTCCCCTGTTGACACTGTGCTTGCCTGACTCACTCTGGGAACTAGAAGACAAGCTTGCTGGCTTGACAGTTTTTGCAAATAATAAATGTATAATGTTATGAGATTAAAGCGATTTAGACTAAACATTTGTGTTTTCGTGTCATAATCTGTAGTCATTCTAGAATGAAAAAAGCATAATTTGAATTTATTTCCTAATTTTTTTATGATAATTATGAGGCCGGTCAAATTGACAGACCCTATAGTGTTAGGGTAAAGAAAATAACAGAAAATATATAAAGTTTTACTGAAAACAAACAATTGAAATGTATTTAGGAGGTTTTAGAGATTACAGAAGTAATATTTGAGATTTTCAAGACAAACAATAGTTTTTTGGGCTGGTAACGAAACAGACTATTTTTACAAACAAATTTATAATAAAAATACTTTATTTAAAAAAAATCAGATTTTTTGTCTACGAAAGAGTTGTAATGTTTACTAAAAGTATTAAGCAAATATTAAGACACACAATTTCAAACTGACTACTTTACTTTTGTGAAACTAACAATCTGTTCTTCACCATACAAAACACCTCACAAAAGAACATCCAAGCTTTTGATAATTTGATGCAACTCAATAAGTAAGTCTATAATCATTTAATAATAATAAGGCCACTATAACAGTTTTCTTAGGCATGCAAAAAGCTTTTGACAAGTTTTGGCATAATACCATTAGATACAGACTTCATACAATCAGTATTAAAGCTATGATAGTTAGATGGATCTCTAACTTCCTAACAATCTAAAATCCTGTGGTTAGAATAATGTCCTTTTGAAATCACTTAACATTACAGCAGGAGTTTTACAAGGTTAGGGACTTTCACCACTACTATATATTTTATTTGTTAATAACATACAGTTCTCAAACATAACTTACATATACTTCTCACAATATGCAGATGATATTGCCATACTAGTCAAGAAATAAATGGTAACATCGGTTTATAGAAAACCTTTTGCTGTTGTTATGCTACCACTCCAGGAATAATGTCATATAAAATGCAAAAAATCTCTGCATTTTATACATATGTTTACATATGAAACAACAAAACTTTTATCCAATCTTTAAACCTACAAGTAAGATTAAGGAAATATTGGGAAGTACTAAGGATAAAATAGAATTAGAAGATAGAACTGGGGTTTACAAAGTAGAAGGTGAATGTGGGAATATTTATATTGGTCAAACTAAAAGAAATTTAAAATATGGATTACAGGACACATAACGGTTACATAAGGAGTAATAAAATTGAAAACTTGGCTATTGCAGAACATGTAAAAACAATACAACACATTTTAATGGGAAAAAACTACAATTTTAGATAACCTCATAACATTACAGCTTTAAATGTCTGAGAATCACTAGAAATAATAAAATTTAAAAAAGAAAAAAGTATTAAACAGAGATGAAGGGCCATCAACTCAAAGCATTGGTATTTGGCATGATGTATTATAAACGTTGACTAACGAATTTTGTATGTAAATACAAAAAGCAATGTAATATCACATGACAAGATTTAAAAAAAATGTGGAAGCTGTTGATGGCTTCAATTAAGTTTTTAAAATTGTGTAAATATGAAACGTTGATTTTTAATTATTTATTATATCTTAATTTTTGTGTTACATGTATTTTAGCATGATGTATGAAAAAAAAACACAAAACAGCACATTGTGGGACAATGTAATTATGGAAGCCATATTTGTTTTTCATGAAAGCTCCTTTGAGTGGCCAATCAGTTATAACGAACTTCTGTTATGATGAATTATTTTGCTGGGTCACTTTGTTTTTGTTATAATGAGGTTCAACTATGTTTGTGTTAAGCCTTACTTATTTGTCACAGCATGTTAGTATTCAGGAATGATGGTTATTTCTTTCATGTTTAAAATTTAGTTTAGCCAGGATTGATCATTATTGTTGTATTATTAAGGTTTTTAGTGTATCCAGGATTGATCATTATTTATTTTGTCATTAAAATTTAGTGTATCAAGGAGTGATCATTGTTTGTTGTATCATTAAGATTTAGTATATCCAGGATTATTTACTGCACATTTTTAGGGTGATGAAACACTGAAATTATGAAGCATAGAAAGAGTTCTTTAAAGATGATAAATGTCTTGAATTAAGTAAAAGATATTGTTCATTGAAACTACCTTAATTATTTTACTAAAAAAGACAATTTTAGAAAACATAACTTTTAATTGTGTTTTAGAGGTGCCTTGGTTTTGAGTGACAATGGAATCTGTTGCATTGATGAATTTGACAAAATGAGTGAAAGTACTCGATCAATTCTTCATGAAGTTATGGTAAGCTACTTTTTATATTTGAGTCTGTTCATTTTATCAAATAAAATAACACACTTATGTATATGTATCTTTAACACTTCCAGGTGACACAAAGTTTTAGTACATCACCTAGCATATTGACACTTATGTACTCTGAACTTGCATTTCATGTGTGTGATCTAGGCTACTTGGGAGCATAATGATGCCTGTTATTACTATTAAATGTGCAAAACTTTTAATTGGCTGTCCTTAAGTCTGCTGTTCTAAATAAAGTCCAAAATGCTGGTTTCTGTTACATCCACTAAAAGCTGCCAATATAGAGGGATGTGTAAGCTTACCATTTTAAAAATGGTATAACTACAACCCCTACCAATAAGGTCTATCTCCAGATTCCCCAAATTCACCTAATCCTCTTAATTTCCATCTTTTTTGTATAATTGATGGTTT